GACTCAGGTGTTTGAGGTCTGAGCAGCTGTTCCAGGGCCAGCTCCACATACAGCAGCGCTGCATGGTCAGTTATCTCCAGCTGAGCCAAGGCCTGTTGTCTGTGCTATATTTGATACCTCAGTGAGTAATTAATAGGGTTCTATTAATAACAATGGGAGATGAAAAATATCCCTTTTCTTCAACGCTCCCTCCCGCAGCTTTAGGCGCCGCCACTGCTCACTGTAGCTGTCACAAAGCTGGCGGATGAAAACTATCATTCTGTTTCGTTCACTGTGTTAATTCATCCTTATTAGAAAGGCGGTGTGGCAGTAACTAAAACGGTGGTTAAAGTTTAAACTGTTTCCAGTAATCGCCAGAGGAAATTCCAAACAAAGCCCATTAAAGTATACAGCTGCTTAGGTGCAACAGTCGCATTGAATTTGGTTAAAGTATGCTTACCCACAGCTACATTTGAGTCTGTTGCAGATGGAGAATGCAGACGTGAACACTAAGGCCATGATCTGATTTAATATTTTAAGTGGATATAATTGGAGTCAAGTTGAAACCAATGTTCCGAGACAGCCCTCATAACAAGCACCAAATAATTAATTTTGATCGTGAAAACTGATATTGCAGTCATGTGATTGTGTATAATTCATTAGCTGATGCTGATTTTAACAGGGGTGTCTTCTGTGGCAGACGGCTCAAGCAAGCCCACAGCAGATCTGCAATAATATCGGAAGGAATCATGTGATCACATTATTAAAATAAGCCAATAAACGTACATTTTAGGTATGTTTCCAGTGACAGTGACTGGACAAGTTTCTGATGGTGTTTCTTTTTTTTGCATTGTGTTTTGACACATTTCATATTTTTATATTTACATTATCTTTGAAGCTGTAGCACGTTTCTACGAATGGGCTGTTGTTACGCGTTTACACCCGAGTGCCACCGTAGGTTTCCCTAACTTTTATTATGAGTGTAAAGAATAAAACAGATTTTTTAAACATCTGAGTGGTTATTCATTTGAGAAAATGATGCTCCATATGTGTTGAATTATTGACAAACTGTTAACAAACAGCAGTATATGCAAATATTTGCATATTTACACCATATCCATATTTTTGCATGGGAAAATATTCAGTTTACTTATTTGTTTTACCTCAGTTGAGTTTTTACTTTTTTATCTAGTTATAATTAGTGCTGTTATGAGGGGTGCATATTATGATTTGGATACTTCATGGATATGTTTGTTCTTCTCCCACTCCGGGTTCTTGATGCACGCATATCCCTTCAATAATTGCCAACGGGGGGAATTAAATGTGGCTTCTGGGAAGTCAGAAGATAATTTCTTTGTCCAATTTTGGTTGTAAAGAAATGTGCAATAGACATGTTCAGATTATAGACACAGTAAATTCATTTCGATATGTTGATAGTCTGGCAGTTCTGCTTTACATTACAGACAAATGTCTCCTCAGGTCAGGTAAACACAGAGATAATGGGCATTAAATCAAAGGTTTTGTATTCCCTGTGGAAGGTTTTAGAATGTGTTTACTACAGGTCATCTAAATCCTGTAAAAGCAGTAAATGTCGACACTTAGGTTCAGGTGACTTGCTGCACTTGACCTTTACTGAACTAATAAGGAGCACCTGAGATGAAGAGTAAGCCATCTGGGATATTTAACTGGACAATCTCAAGTCCTGAGTTTTAACAACACTGGGTGTGCTATGATTCATAACCAAACATTCCCTGAGGGTTATATTATGCTCGCATTAAATCAACAAAGGCAGGGATCATACAATATAAAACTTTCAGCAGGGTCTAAATGAAAATGGGTTTAAAAAGTACACCCATTAAAAATAGATCCTAATCTGGTAGATGGGCATTGTGTATATTGACAGTGATTCATTCTGATATGTCTTAATTTCTTCAGAGCTGGCATGTAGCTATCATGGTATGTAAATGCCATTGACAGTTGCCAAGTGCCAGTACATCACTTTACAAATGTGAATAGCAGGAAATGAGTGTGGGCAGAGAGAGCTATTGAGTGGTGATTCTGCAGTGACAGTTATTTCTACCCAAGCAATAACTGCCCACTACACTGGCACTGTGAAGCCAAATCAGTAAGCCGGCCTCGAGCTACGCAGCTCTGTTGTTGCCATGGTGAGCAGATTATCTCTGTATGAGAAACCCTCCACTCTCCTGACATTGTGCCCACCGCGGTTGCCTCTCATGTGGCCATGGATGTTTGTTTTATCTGGTAACCTTTAAGTGCATCACTTCCTGCGGGATTTCTAAAAAGCCAGATACATATTTCCTTAAGTTCCTTTTAAAGTCAGCAGCACAAACAATGAGGTTACACAATGACATTAAGATGAATTCTGGTTATTCCTTTCACTGTCTTTGCTAGAAGAAAATGCTGTTGCTGTCATTCCCATGTCATCGGATGGAATAGTTTTGTCACCACCTGTGGTGTTTCAAACTGTCACACAAGGCAGTCTTTAATTTAGTGTCTGTATGAGACGCACCAGGCTTTCAAATAACTATAATTTAAACCCAATCGCAGCAATAGAGGACAAGTTACCCAGAAGTCAGGAGAAATTGAAATTTCTAAGGTGAAATGTTTGTAGTCCCAGTGTGTGTCCAATATGGAACCAAAGCTCAAAGGGGAGTTACATAAAAAGCATAAGCATTTTAACCCAACCCACTATCTTGGGTGATAGCGGGGGGAATAAGCCCAGTCTGTAGGGACTTGGCTTTGAAACTGTAGTGTCCCGATTTCAAGTCTTAATTGAGACACACAAAGAGCAAATGAATATACGCAGCAGATACAATACATGAATGGCACACATTTGTATAGTACACTAACCCTTCATGTAGGCTATTCATCCATATTATTAAGTGTCAGCAAGGTAGATTGTAAACGGCCACTACGGGATATGAGGGGCCGTTAGGGACATTATTCAGAAATACCGTTCATACACACATATGAAACGCACTCACACACACATGAAACTCACTCATATTATACACATGTGAAATGCACTCACACACACATGAGACGCTCTCGCACACACACATATGAAACACTCTAATACACATGTGAAACAAACACACACACACACACACACACACACACACACACACACACACACACACACACACACACACACACACACACACACACACACACACACACACACACACACGTGAAATGCGATTTCAGTATGTTGTGTGAGAGGGATTGCAGTATGTTGTGTGAGAGGGATTTCAGTATCATCAGTATCTTCATCAGCTTTTATTGAAGAGACTCTTGGTCCATTACATACAACACTCAAATATAAATTAAAAAAGGCAGTTATACCAATGTTTCTACAGAGGTGACACTGAGATGCGGATTTGAAAGCAGCATAATGACAGAGTTATGAGAAACATTCAATCGACAGATGAATTTGTAAATCAGATTTCTCAAGACGTTGAAAGTATGTTGTGTGAGAGGGATTTCAGTAGGTTGTGTGAGAGGGATTTCAGTATGTTGTGTGAGAGGGATTTCAGTTGACACGGAAGGCATCTCAGTTGAAAAGGAAGTTGTTTTAAAAAAACATTGAAGAACCGAATTTGCTTCTGTGAACACCACAGTCTGTGACTCTGAAAAACGTGTTTTGGAAAACCCTTTTAGTTTTACTCCTTTTACTGTTGATGTTGTTCGTCAAGCTTTAACCAAGTTAGATCTTAAGAAACTGGCCGGCCCGGACAACGTAGAACCTTTCT